CTTGCAGTGGTGTGTAACCTGTGATAACCTTCCTGACCGGAGGTGGCTTTCATCTCAGTGATTTTTTTTTAGCTCTGATCCCAGCAGAATTATTTTAGGGCTTGATTTTCCTCTCTGATAACAGAAAAGATTCTTTACGCAGGCACAGTTTAGCAGCTGAGGATGCATTTGCATGGGCCACACCGATGTGTGACCCTCTGGATGTGCCACAGAGATGCAGCCTGCCTTCCCCTGGTGCCATCGGCGCTTTCCTTGCTGAAGTCAGCCAGAAAAGCCTGAACAGCACCTCTTGTTTGAGGGCTCAGGGACGGGTTGGTAGCCACATGTGTGACCGAAATGGTTATTTTTCTCTTAATCCCTCCCTCCTACACCACATTTGGTGAGAAAGTTACGTTAAAGGGACCCTATTAAAGATGCAAAATCAAGAACATGGAAGTCTGGAAAGGGCACGGTGAAGGGGTAACCTAAACTCCACAGCTCTGCTGTGAGATGTGTGTAGACACTCGGCCGCTGCGGGATTCACCTGGCCTAGCTTTAGAAATCAAAAGGTTCGTTGTCTCAGCCTGAAGTAGCTGCCCAGGCTTGTTCTGCAGCAAACAGCGAGAGAGAAATATTTTTGGGGAGTGATTCATCCCCTCCTCAGACAGGTTCCCAAGATCGTTTGGGTGAATGGGAAGTGCCTGTTCCTCTCCATGGAAAATGAAGAGAGCCTGAACGATTAGCTTAATCCTAGGCAATTATTAGGCATCTAAAATTAGAGGAGATGAATGCACAAGGTTTCTTCTGTAGGAGATGGCCTCGCTAGTGGAGAAGGTGTTCAGGGAGAGCGTCGAGGAGCGGCTGCAGCTCTCGCCTGTGGGGTCTGGACCTCCCAGGGAGGCAGCCGGGCGGTGGGAGGAAGGTCTTTGCGCGTGCAATCTCAGAAGTACTTTGGAGAGTTCAGTTTTCAGCCTTGTGGAAGGAGAGCGTGGCTGGAAGCCTGTTTCTTCCCAACCTGACTCATTTAACCTGCAACCCACATCCTGCAGAACATGCTTTCTGCTCTTAAGTTCTTGGATCCTTCTTTTCCACGATGTAGGGCACACGTACTTGCTAAAAAGACACGGGGAGGGGGAGCTAGTGTGGGCAGTGGGCCCCAGCACTGGCACTACCTTGTTTTCCACCATTCCCCAGCACTGAGACAAGGCTTAGATGCAGCCCTAGGGCTGGCTCACCACAGGAGCAGCTCCAGAAACGCCAAGACCACCCCGGACTTGGCTCCTTCCAAGCCAACGTGCATACTAGAAAATACAAAACCTCCCTTTTTGTGGGAAAAATGCAAGCACGTAAGGGTCATGCTCAATAAATGACACTACAAATGCAAATGGTGATGGAGCTGAGATACTTGCAATGATCTACAAATATGAGCAACAGAGGGGATTTGGGACACCTCTCTGTGCCCTCATTTCAGCTACTCTAATAACAGAAGAGCGGGACCCAAAACATGACCCTTACGAGCCAACTCCAAGCCAGGGCTTCCCTTGCTGTCAGCTTTTTCACACAAGTAGCATTTTTATCTTTGACATGAGGTTTGTGTTTGAGAAATGAGTGTACCCACATCTCCTCTGAGGCTCAGGAAATCTGGACTCTGGACACTAAAGCTCTGAGCCTCCACGGGGGGATTTATTTCTGCCTCTCAGCCCTTAGGATAAGAAAAGAGAGCGTGACAGCAGCCAAGCAGAGGACAGAGATCAGGGCAAGATTTTGCCGTTCTTGTTTCACACTTCCTTTGCCTGCATGGCACAGGAAACACCAAAATATGTAAAAAACTGAACTTCAAGGAGAAAAAACCCTAATGCTCCTCTGCTCCCTTCCAGATAGTGTTAGAAACAGAGCGCTTGTTGCAATTTCATATGACATTGTGTGGACATAGATGCACATCTGTTTCTCCTCCAAGAAGAGGGGGGACTCAGCTGGATATGGCCCTGAGCAACTTCATTGATTTTTTTATAGAAAAAACCTGTGCTAGCTTTGAGGTTAGCCCTGCTCGGAGCAGGAGGTTGAAGCACAGATCTCCCAACCTCAGTCCATCTGGGATTTCAGCAGAGGAAGGGTAGTGCAGGCTTCTCTCTTTCCACCTGGGATAGCCACCGGAGAGGCTATCCCAAGAGTGACCAGCCATCTGGGGCTCTGTCTTCGCCGCAATGGAGGTCTTTCCACCAAAACTCTAGCAGAAGCAAGGCATGCGTGGGTTTTGCCTTGTTCTATGTGGTTCTCACCCCAAAAATGTTGGTCCTCAGATAAACAGAGCCAGAGGCAATCTCCCAGAGTGTGGGAGGTCACTGTTAGCTTGGGGTTGACTAAAAGTCATCCAATATCTATGGGAAAGGGCAGCAGCCTCCTCCTCTTGGTTGGATTTGGGGAAATGAAAGCTGCACCGTGCCCCTATGGGAATTCTTCCACCAGGCACTATTGCAGCACCGAGACACCCTGCTCTGCTCTGGCTGTAGCTTGAAACCGAGGAGGAATAAAGCACACTTGCATGGGGGTGGGTCGAGCAGCAGGGGTCCAAGGGAGGGTGAGGCAGTAGCCCACCGCGGTGGGCACGGGATGGTACCTACAGGTGCTTCAGCAGGAGCAGACCCTCCAGCGAATGCCTCTTCACTGCCCACAGATTGTTGTCCTGGAGGACTCTGGAATGAGAGAAACGGACATTTACTGTTACACCAGCTGCTCTCCAGGAGGAAATGGGATTTTCAGGGGAAAATATCCTGCAGTAGCTTTACTAAAACGCCTCTGAGTCACTACATCACACCTTGAGTCACCACAGTGATCACCACTACTCATCGCAGGAGCAGGCACTTGCTCCTGGCCTGCTGAAGCTAAATGTAGCCTGATCATTGATTAAATAGGCACAGGGACGGTCCCGTAGGATGGAAGGGACACAGCTCATGGCATTCCTTGCCATCCTAGGAAGCCCTGGGGATTCACACCCCTCCTTGCTGAGCAGCTCAGCTTTGAAGTCAGATGGAAATGGTTTGTGTGGGTGCTTGTGCTCGTCGTACCCTTGGCTCAAAAACCAGACGAAAGGATTGGAAATACCTGAACTCCTGACATTTTAAATGCTAGAGGATACTTACAAGTACTCAGCCCACGGGTATTCCCTCCACACTTGTTTTTCAATGGAAGAAATTGAGTTGCCAGTGAAATCTCTGCAAAGAAATGATTGACACTGTCACCCCTCAGGAAAACCCCTTCCCCTGGAAATTTGGCCGCTGAGGTGGAAGCAGAGTTTGCTTGGAGATGCGACAGCGTGGCCAGCCTGGCTTCACCCCTTGGTGCTGCAGCACCAGCCCCCCGAAACCAAGATGTCTCCTGCCAGTGACTCTCTCCCGGGTGTCTCGGGAGGGGTTACACGGAATAAGAAGC